CCACTACTGGCGTAACCTTTGAATCGGCCATCCACCTTCGATTTATTTCTGCTTGAAGTGATATTTAATAGCCTAGCGATTTGAGCATTATGCATCAGTATTTCCGGACTTGGGCGTTATGTGTAGATGAGTATAATATGAGGATATACTGTTTATTCATAGCACTTGTAACACACGCCGCTTATAGCGAGACATATCTTATGCCGTCATTAGAGGAACCGTATCTTTCCAAGAATTCTATTTTAGTCGAAATCCGACCCAGTGGCCGAAAAATAGGAGTGAACCCGGCGCAACCGTCGAATACTGGGTCTTCGCACTGAGTTCGATCCTAAGCGAATGGGCTACTATTATGGATGGTTTTCATAGTTTTCACCATGTGTAATGTGAATAACAGCCATTTTCCTTTAGAAAATACTCCACGAAGCCATCCGTTGCACGAGATAGGTACTTACGTACTTTGCCATATTTAATTAACCTACCTTAGTCGAACACCACTGTAAAGCATAGGTTTCGACTGGGACGCGCACACAAACATCCATTACGTTCGATCAAGCTAATCTTTGAAGGTCACACCATATTTGAGGCATTTTTCCTGGAATTGATACGTTATTTGCATCTGAGCGAATGTTTCCTTTGCGTGCTCTGAGGCAGTTAATGTTGTTAAACTACTATATATTCCGTAACTGACTACTGAAAGTTTTTTTCCTAAATTCTGAAGGAAAAAAAAACCCCTTAAAACTGAAATGTTTTAAGGTTTTTTTTTCTTCTTTCTTACTGCGTATCTTCGTGGTGTAATCTAAAACTACGTCCGGCTAGTATCGGGGGATCGGAGATCGAATATCGCCGAGGACATTGTAGATTTTTCGTATTTCCTGCTTCGAAAACCTAATGACTACAAAAGCGTAAATAGCATCGTTCTATAATTTTGGGATAGTAATTGTTATTAAAGCCCCAGCCATATTGCCTTGCATCATGAGACAAAGAAGTTGTTTCTTGTGTTCGAAAACTTTTTGTTTTTACAATAGGCCCGTCAGGGAAATCGTCCAAATCTAAGTTCTGCACGTAACTTTTGCATACATCATTCTTGTCGATATTTTATTGCGTTTCTGAGAATGCACTTTTTCCATGAAAGTAAAAGAAAGGCCTCGGTAAAGCACTGGTTACACTCTCTTGGGAGTATGAACAAAGAGCATCACGTGTTCTCGATTTAATACAAGGTGTGCAAATTCATATATATTCAATGGTGCAGCCTAAAAAATGTTTACTTATTGAATACTTTAATTTGAACATTTTTAACAAAAATTACACTGTACTGAATTTGTTATACAGTTTAATAATGATTGTTTCGGTAAGTTTTTGTATGCTGATTGATTGGATAATAATTGATAAATATTTTCTTTCTGAAAGACAATTAATCATCACTCTCCAGTGAATATTTTACAGCAGATTAGTGGCGTAAGGGCATAGCTAAAGGGCGTAAGATTAGTGGCGTAGCTAAAAGGGGGCATCTGTCCTGAGTCTTAATTTCCGGGGGTGCCAAACTGATGTTACGAAATTTTACAATTAAATGTTTTCTATTCTTGGCAAGTGCCGCGAAATCTTCCGTTGTCCCCGAGCGCTGAAAACCCTAGCTATGATTCTGCAGGAAACTAGATCACTAAAATGTCAAAAAAGCCATTTAAAAAGACATACAAATAAGTTTGTTTCATTTTACTAGAAATATATCGGATATTTTAGATAAATGTATACTTGATAAAGATAAGTGAACTGAATTGAATTTGTACCTGTTAAAAAAGGGTGTTCTAACCCATTCAAATTTTCTTTTCTCAAATACTTTTTCACATTGACTATTCATACACATGACCTTTAACAAAATTAAATTTAAATGATGTATCCAATGATTTTTTGTTGGACTTATTCTATAATAACCTGGAAGTTAAATGCTAAAGACTAAATGCAATGCGGCCTAGATTAAAGTTAGTAATCTTCCTGAAATATTTACCAGAAACAATTTTCTTTTAAAATAAGTGGATTAAGTGTTTTCTAATATGTCACGACTCGAGGAATGATGCCGGAATGTTGTTAGTTTTCTAGTTAGTGTGTGGGGCTAATACCTACTTACTTAGGGTAAATATTAGGTGGCCCCCCTCACTTCTACATAACATAACATAATATATTCTTACTATTTTTTTTAAATGGCTTATGAATTACTATTACTTCATCGCTTATGTGTAGTTTTTCTATAATTTGAAAACTAAGGCATAAATTGTTTATTTTCATGGCATGGCTATAACTTGGATATCTATGAATAATTTTTATAAGCTATCCAAATTGCCTGTGTGCGTAAAGAGCGGTTTTCATTCGTACAAGACGCGTAAGATAATAAAGATTGAAATGAGATTTATAATAAAACCATAAATATATAGGGAATATAAGAATAGTTTTCCCTTTTTTCAGTAACTTCTTAAATATTTATTTCATATATAAAGCTTTGCTATGTATACATATAACCCAGCCATAAAAATAAACATAAGGAATTTACCATAGTTCCTTAAATGTTTTCATCATGGCTAAAAGAGGAACAATTTTGTAAATACTTAGATTTCTCTTTTCTGCTGCTGTTTATTGTTAGGATTTACTATAAATTTCCCATGAACTTTAACTAATATCTGAAATCCTAGTGTTGATTGAATGTTTTTAATAAGTCGACTTGATAAAATTTAGGAGGGTATTAAACATTTCACTCCTGTCCTGCAACTAATATGTTTGTATAACCAAAAATTGAAAATGAGCCTTTTTGTTTAATTTTTTTTGTAATTGTAATTAATTTTCCCCCTCTTTTGTGTTTTTATTATAACTATACATGAAATCAAAATATGAAGAAGTCTACTGCCTTCACTTCTATAATCTGTTTCTCATTTTGGCTCAAATGTACTGGAAATATTTCCCTTTGTTTATTTTTATACACTGCTGTCAACAATTTTGGCTCATCTGAGTTACCGTTATGTTCCCCATCAATCCTGAAATTTAATTATATCCGTAAATTGCTGAAAATTAATTGTTAAACTGAATCATTAATTGAATTATAACCAAACGACCAAACGAACTTTTTCTGTATTTAGCGCTTTTTTAGCCCAAAGGAGCATTAGCCCAGAAGGGCTATTAGTCTCGAAACGGCATCTTGCTTCGAATCACTGTAAATGGCTGTATCACTTTTCAAATTGTTGCCACCAATATTATTATCGTCCGCAAGACTCTCTATCGGAAATTCTAAAGATACGCGTTTTTAAATATTTTGGGATATTGCTCTTGAATTGAATTTCATGTGGTTTAAGTGCGAAAAACGTGATATTTAATAAATAAAGTAACTCACAAAACATTAAAAAAACGCCCCTTGGGGAGTAGATTTTATATTCTATATTTATTATTGTTATTATTTTAAGATTCCTGTGGAAAATACTTCTTAGAAATAGATTTGGAGTGTTTTGGGTTCATTCAAAAATTTTTCTTTGTCATTCATTTTTATTGTTGTAAGTGATACAAAATTTTTAGTGAATAATACAATGCAGACAAAAATAGTTTTCTTATTAAAATAGTTGGCTTATATTTATTAAATGCTAAACAACTGTTTTAAATTTTACATGAGTGGAAACACTGAAGAACGATATTTACACACTAAAATTATAGAGTCATTAGGATTTTTTTGAAGTGGGAGTCATGAAAAATGAGCAATGTCCTCGCCTGTACTCGAACCACGGACCTCTCGAATTCGCGTCGAGTGTGTTGACCTCTAGACCACGAAGGCATGGTAAGGCTGCGTGAGAAATACCTTATAAAGTAAGAAGAGTATTTCCCCTCCAAAGAATATACAGTTCCATGATCTTTAATAATCTATCTCTTTCTCTGTTTTTTAGGGGGAGGAGGTTACGTATCGCTGTGAAAATAATTTTCTTTCCAAATTTATGCGTAGAAATTATTATCATCTTAATTGTTCGATAGCAAATAAAAATGCACACATTTTTTGGCTTCATTTGGCCTGGATTTATTGTACTTTATTACGTTCAAAAATAAATTTAAAGTTAGTTTAATATTTTCTGAAACATTGGAGAAATCGTGTAATACCCAGGGGATGAAAAAAAGCGAATCAGAAACATGGAGAAACCCGAGGAGAACCGTATTTCTGTTTCTCGATAAAGAAATCCTAGTAAGTACCGTAGGGATAAATAAACAATTCGTAATAGAATAAGCATCGTTGATGACGGGCGTAACCAAAAAATATGATGATACAATGCTTTTCGACAGAGGAAACATTCTGCCTCATGTGTATGCATATTTTATGCGGAAAATGACATACATAGATTTTCCGAGAGGTTATTTTTATTATACTCCCTCTCCTAGACGTACTTCTTTGTTGACAAATAAAATATGGGCCTGTTTTCATTTGAGAGAAGATTCTGCAGTACAGCGCATTTAGCTATCTATTATATTTCCACCATTTCAGTGTAATGGCAACTGAAAGGTGCTAAAAACGATACTTTTAGTTATTCCTGTAATTTTATTCCTCGTCTGGGAAAGACCTACCTGTCGTTTCTGGTAAAACAAAAAAGTATTGAGGTGTGGGCCACACGGATCGGGCTTTCTGGCGCCCTTTTCAGTCGTCTGCACTCCGCAACCGTCAGTTGCGCAAGCGCACGCCGGTTCAATCAATATTGCCGTCTCATACGAACTACTGCAGACACGTTGTGATGCGAGAAAACGCGTGATTTTTACGAGATGATTCTTCCCTGGTTGTACAAACGTAAATAAACCAACCCTATTGGAATTTTTTTGCAATGCAGTCCGTCCTCGGTCCTCACTTCGTGCGTTTCTGGTTCGTATTACACCTACAATAACTAACAGGACGTCCGATCCACCCAAATAGCAAATGACGTTGAAATTCTTCCTTTCATGTTAAACATTTATAACTAGAATTGTACAAAATGGAATATTTGATGATATCTACAACAGCATAAACTATGGTCCACGAAGGAGGAGATCATGCTCAGGTATTTTATCGAGTTTTTATTTCAAAGCAAATTGGAGAATTTTGAGATGTCACATGAATATAAATAGCCTGTGTGTTTTGGGAGAGGCGGGTTTTTTCTAATAAGGTGTCATTCTGAATTACACTATAAGAAAATAAGATAAAATATTATGATTGGATGCATTACTTACTAAGTGTCCTAGGATTTATATTTCATCTGTAATAACATTCTTGGTATTGCATTTATCGTTATATGCTGATATTGCAACATCGTTATTTCTGAATGACTGCATTGAATTTATTAACATTTAAAGAATTTCTGAGCCTTCTCCATTTACTGACAAAAATTATGTATCTCGTTTTCGAACAGTAATTTTTTTTTTTTTTTTTTTTTTTTTGATTTTTCAGTGCATGGCTTTGACCCGAAAACTGTATCTCTTAAAACTGGAAGAAATTGCTGGTGCACATGCGCCTAAAGAAATATGACGTAATTCTACTTCAATTTAAGGAAAAAATCTAAAAGTTTTCTAACATTAACTTTTATTTTTTATTTTATTTTAAGGATAATAAAAAGATGCAACGAAAAGTGTCGTTATTTTTCTAAACTACTGATTTTTATTTAAATATTTTTAAAATCTACTTAAAATGATCTTATTTTAAACCGGTATAAGTTAGTATTTTGTGCGAAAAAACACATGCTAGGCTTCTTAATTCAAAGCTTACTGGAAAAATGCTAATATGATTTGAATTCTAATTCGTGTATTTTCCTTTCTTTACTGATAGCGCTTTTGTTTACAATTTAGAATTTCAGTAGGAGGAAAAAAAACTTTATGGGAAAGACCAAACCAAATAGATATACATGATATGAATGTAGCAATAAATGGAAATGACTTTCATTTTTCATTATTTATCTTCCCAATTTTAAGAATTTGAATAATTTAGAGCTATAAAAAATGCAAAATTCAGAAAACTGTATGCAGAGTTTTCCGTTTAACAGCTCTTTAAATGCCAGTAGACTTTAACAAAAAACATGTCTAACATGTTTTCAGATTATGATATTGGAGTGACACTTAAATTCCAAATATATAAACAACATTTTTGGTCCGTAATTTGGAAAGTATAATTTTTCTCTTTTTTAAAATTGCATGATATTCAAGAGTCTTTATAGAATAAAATTAGTATGTATTTAAGTGTAAATGTGTCTATTTTTATCCACGTTCTGGATATTTTTCTTGAAGAATTTTATCAAAATTGATCTTTGCCCTTAATGCAGGAAAACTAAAATGCGTTCAAATTTATACATATTTTTATCTATGCTACGAATACGAATATCAGAATGGTCTTAAAACAATGCATATTTTATACGTTCTGATCGGATTATCATGAATCTTCTGATCATTTAGTATGCTTTAATTGTTTTAGTAAAAAAGAATTTTCATATAACGTCCGGTGTTGTAAATATATAACTATTGAGTATATCACTCTTGCTGCAAATAGAACCCAGTCTTCAATTTAATGAAAAAGCGTCGTTTGTTATATTGAAAATTGTTTCATGCACTTCATATTTCATACGATTTTTGTAGTTCTTAACTTCATAACGTAATAATTCTGAACCGATTTTTCTTCCTCATGAGCAAATTAAGTGGAATTTTCGTTTATGCATCACAAGAATGACCTAATTCTGTGTTTTTCAGCTGATGCTAACAAAATTGCAGAAACACGTTATGAGTGAAAACGTCAGAAATAAAAGTTTTGAGACAGCCATACTGCTTGCTGGTACTGTTTTATGTATGGCAGTTTTTAATGTAGTTAATGCTAACATTTTTCTGATATTGACTTGCATAAAGGGAACGCTTCTAGAATGAGGAAATTTTGGAAAATATTTTGGTACAGATTACTTTAGTCTTTAAGATAGTGGGGGTTTTCTGTATTTTTTTTTCGTTTGTGTAACATGAAAGGATAAAAAAGCGAACGGTATTCATTTCAGAATCCTCCAGCAGATATGTCTAGATGTAAGACAAGCAAACTTTAATTTGGTTAGGTTAGGTTAATTGAATAAGGCAAAGCAACTCAAGGGCTATTTGCCTATGGGAAAGTTGACTTCGTGGAGGACTTTGAATTTTCCTCGTATCCACGTTACACATGAGGAAAACCGTGAAAACTCCCATACAGCCAGCCCGTTCACCAGTATTCGAACTTCGGAACAAACTACCAATGTTCAGCGACTTTACCGTCGCCGTGGGCCTTTTTAACTTCGATTAAATTGTTTGGAATATAGATATGCAGATAGGCTCTGCATAAGGGAAGAAGTACCCTCGTAAATAACTTTTTAACGTTCTAATCTCGTATTCTCGGCACAGATGGGGAGAACCACGAAAACTCCTATGCAGCTACCTCGTTCGCCAGGATTTGAACCCGGATCAAACTACCAGTACAGCAGTAATTTGATAAACCTGTGTGTTGTGCAGGGCTGAATTAAAATTAGAAACCCCGTAGCTGTATGAAAGGGCTATTAGAAACAGTAAATAAACATGAATAAGTAAAGTAACAAATAAGGAATAATTCAAATTAAATAAAATGTAAAGAGTTAAAAAAAGTAATAGTTTTCAATTCATTTCAATGAATAGCAAATTATTAATGAAATAATAAATAAAAACATCTGAAATCACCTTATTCGAGGCTTTGACTTAAACAATAATTTCACTCCAAAATTGAGATATGCCGGAATCAGATCCCAGATGAATTAAAACCCTGTTGGTTTCAAAGCGAGCAGTGGCAACACTGAAAGAAAAAAAAAATTTTTAATCTCCAGCGTGCGAGACTGTGTATTGGATGATCTAAAGAAGATATGCTCTTTTTAAATATTTTGTGATATTTCTGTTGAATTGAATTTTATGGTTTAAGTTCGAAGAACATGATACTTAACAGATAAGTGTAATACAAGAAACGTTAAAAAAAGCCACTCTGGGCGTAATATAAAATCTGAAAGCTTTCAGATTTTGTTTTTAATTATTTTTTAAATGACCACTACTTCCGACATAAATAAAAATATGCGCTGTTTGCGTAAAATGCTCGTAATCAGCCTAAAAATAACATTCTTTTTCCCTTTTTTATATTTTTTAGTATGTTGGAAAAGTTGGAAGCGGTACGCATAGCTCTTTTTTTTTAGTCCAAATGGGCTTTGTCCCTAAAGGACACGGGAAGGGGGGAAAAAAACCTTTTTATCTCCAGCGCGCGGAACTGTGTATTGGAAATTCTAAAGATATGCTCATTTTAAAATTATTTTGCGTCATTGCTATTGAACTGAATTTTATGGTTTAAGTGCAAAGAACATGATATTTAATAATTAAAGGTAACGCACAAGACGTTAAAAAAACGCCCCTTCGAACGTAATTTAAAGTATGAAACCTTTCAGATTTTTTTTTTTTTTTCAAATAGTGACACTCTTTCGAAAAAGGTTGACCACCCCTGTCTTAGAATATACAATAAATGCAGCATATACCTATAAATTGAAAATTGTGAAAAGGAGTTACTAATTGTTAACGCATGCATACAGGAAAATCCTTAAAAATTACATTAAATATTCAGTTTTCCATTAAACCATCGATTTTGTTTAGAATAAAAAATTTTATGAATTGCACGCTATTGTGTCTTTTTTGATTCCGCCTGTACACGTTATCAGTAAACGAAATATTTTACAATTTACTAAGAGAAATTATCTTTTTCCTACGTTCATTTCCTCAACGTGACAGAGTGGGCGAAAGTTTCCCTAGCGGCATGCCGTCGCGGTATTGCATGTAACTAGGAGTGAGTATTCATAACAAGTCTCTTCTCCAGCCTGCTCGTAATAAGAAGAAACTTCCAAATAATACGTTGTTACCTCAGATAATCGATTTATTCCCCCCTGGTCCATTTCTTTTAAGTACTAATTGCAAGCAGCTTTATTTTTAGATAAAAGTTTGCAATCTGCATTGCTTTCCATGTTTCTTGAATTAAAACGCCCTCGAGACATAATCTGCTGAGCCTTTTCAATAAATGTGTCTTGTTTTCTCACATCTGAAATACCTTTGACACCATTATCTGCATAGATCGAATATTTTAATTTTTAGGCAAATTCTTCTAATTCAAATTTCCTATTATCCAACAAATGCGAATTTTAGCTTGCTAATAGAAATGGGCTCGTGGTAACACCGAACACTACTCTACAATGTCTGTGAACAATTTCCTCATTTTCAGAAGGATAGAAAAATCGTAAAAAAATTCGATGGTTTAGACTGTAAAAACCCTTTTTCTATCAGTTGAAAGTCCAATCAGATAACTTTGAAATCTGTCAACAGCATCAGGAATGAGCTCTATTAAATTAGGCCCTTTATATAACAGATTCATTAAAGGACATTTTCCACTCTTTTTAGCAGATGCGTCAAATACGGGTCAAATAATGTAAATTGTAGTTTAAAAATTCATATGGAAACGCCGTATGAAAGAAGTAACCATTTCTGAGTTTGTTTCAGTGAAAAATCACTGTCAGCCAATACACAAAAAGAAAAAAGTACCCATTTCAGAGCTTAAATCTGATGAATTAAAAATTTTTATTATGTGCATTTCATTATTTTATAGTCTATGCAATATTTAACAATATAGTTATACCCAAATACTACAGTCAACATTCGAATGATATGGCTAACTTTCAATCTAATTCCATTCGATTCATAATTCTAACTCCCTTTCATTAATATATAAAATTTTACAAATTTAGTGTTAAGCAGCTTGTCTTTTGGCCGAAATTATGTTTTATATATAATTTTTATTCCTTGATAAAGGTTTCAGTTCGTAAATTTTATTATTATTATTAGCTACGTAAGTATCTTTGTCATGAAAGTTATCTAAAAATCAATGACGAGTACCAATTTTGAAATAACGCAGTTCAGCCAGGTTTATCATAAGCATGTTATAATTTTTGGTACAGAAATTATTCGTAACCAACCTAAATATGACGCTTAAGGGACTATTACGAATTAATTTTAGGATTTTATTTTACATAATCTTTATCTTACAGATATATGATAAAAATTTATACAAATAAATTGCAAAAAAACGTTACGTAAGTTTATACATTCTGAAACATTTATTCATTAAACATTAAACAGTTTATTGATTAAATAAAAGCCTAATTAATAAAAATTTCTTCAAAAACTAAAGAATAGATTAAGTCCTCGAGTTACTTCAGAATTGACGGTACTTACATATTATCTCGTCAGCCGTTAAAATGTCGCCAAGCAGCACGATTTAGCGGTAATTATGGCTAAGAGTGACGTAACAACAAATTCATAACATCTGCGCTTTCGATTAACCTCAACTGTTTCTCTATAAGCCACCTTATGTTTTTTATACACAAGGACATAAATTAACTGTCATTGCTGTATTTTTTCTTGCATTAAAAAATATATTAAAATTTCAGTCATGGCTTCGGACTTTCGGAACAGGAAGCAGTATATTATTTTCAAAGTTATCGGATCCTACCATAAAAAAAATGTTTTTATATTAATAGACATGATATGGTGAGCTGAATATGGCTGACGAAACAGCAAGTCTAGATGAATTACCTATGAGAAGCTCATACTCATAGCGTTATAAACAGCGGTTCAGTAAAATTGAAGGGCGTAACAAAATAGTAGAAATCGAGGAAACACTTTTTACACAGCGTAGAAAAGTAGTGGATCGAATACTGACTATTTATTAAGTAAAGAGGTGTTAGTTCCTTCCAAAATTTCGCAAGAACGAGTGATGCAATTTATGCGGGGTTTCTGTCAATTTTTATGGTTCGATGGTAGCCAGCATTTACGGTCGACGGGATAATACGTACCTACTGAATCAACTTACGACGGAACCGATGGAACGGCACTCGTCTTAAGTGGATGACTCTCTATGTATCATTGTTGCAAGAGTAATGGGTGTTGAACAAACTTCGAAAGGGTACCGATAGAAGGAAGATAACAGTGTATATTTGATGTTCTTTTATTAATGATTTACAAAAATATTTTATGACTTTTTATTCATTTCATTCAGCATCTTATTTATGACGGAAATCTTTTCTTTTTTAGACGGATGGCAATGCGAGCTTTTTACGAGCAGCAAGAGCTGGAAATTTGGAGAAGGTCATTGAATACTTGAAAGGAAACATTGATATCAACACAAGCAATGCAGTAAGAACACTTTTCTTTTTTGAATTTATTGTTTCTTTTCAATAATTAAAAAAATGAGCAGTAGTGTTGTTAATTTTTAAATCATAATCAATATAATTTACGTTAATAAATCGAAAGATGTGATCCTTAAAGTAAATTTTACAAGTATTATCTTAAACAGAAAAATTTATTTGAACATAACGCGTTGTGTGCCATCATTGTTGATGAATATCTACGTTTTCATTATACATAGACTGAAATATTTGACTAAATCAGGGATGTCAAACTCGCGGACCTTGACTCATTTTTGTGCGGGTTCTCTCTGAGAAAGCGTCAAAAACTATAAAATATTATTAATAAAAATTGAAATTCCACCTGTTATCGAGATATACAGGGTGTTTTAGTACAGCCATTATAAAACCTTCAGGAGAGATAAAATACACCTATACAATTGAAAATCTCCTAGCAATGCATAGTCGGCGCGATAGTGACGACATAAAATACAAGGAAGGAAGGACAGGAACAGGATGAGAAAACATGTTTATTATGCTTAGTGCAGTAAAATGATGGGACGGCTTTGGCTGTGTACGAGGATGCAATCTGAATAGATGTACCTGAATGCAACGTATCCTCAACATTGGATCTGCAGGGATGGCTCGGTACGTTGGCTAACAAGATCGCCAGACCATTGACTACTTCCTCTGGGAGGTACATCAAGACACTAGTTTACGAAGCCCCCCGTTAACAGTGTTTAGGAACTTGTACGCATCGTGGCAGCTGCTGGGAAAGTCCGGGATCCACCCGGTATTTTCCAGAACATTAGATTTTCCATGCGTCGGAGACATGAGGCTTACATCACGGTCTGGGGTCGTAATTTCGAACACCTTCTTTGATGACGATCGTTATCTGTTTTTATTCTTATTTCTTGTTTTCTGCTAAGCATAATAAACATATTTTCTCACCCTGTTCGTTTCCTTTCTTTCTTGTGCTTTGTGTTGTCATTACCACGACAGGAAAGCGTTTCTGACCATACATTGCTGTGATTTTTCATTGTTTAGGTGTACTCTGTCTCTTCTGAAAGTTTGTAACCGCTGTGCTGAAGCACCTTGTATATACAACCTTGGATGCTAAAAAAGTCATTTGAGACGGCCTCCTTACAAAAATATTTTCTCAACCGACGTTGAGGAATTGCCTGACCACTTAGAAATGAAGAGAATCTCAATACGGCTCAAATCTAAGCATACATTCAGTAAAGTGGTATCCCTGGATCTTACAAATTTTACATGCTTATACGGTTTCCAAATCCTTAAATTTACATCGTATGTGATTCTCCTATTCGATAGTATGTATCTGCATGAGCAAAATTTCGCACTTATGAAAAGATAGAAGACCCCAGTGAATTCCATGTTAACAGATATTCATCTAAACTCAATTTTGAAAATCTCTAATGCGACCAGTATGTCAGCAGACATCAGAAACCTGGTTGCAGGAAAAAAAAGATGTCAGTTGTCAGAAAAGAAATAAGCAGGTTTTCAATATTTCAAGATTTCCGTATTTTCTTTCTATTTTTAGAAAACTGCAGCATTACGTAAGATTGTATGTACTTATTTACTTTTTAAATACATGATCAAGTATGAAAATGATTTTTTATTTGACCATATGTGGCCCGGATTATTGCACATTACTCAGAATCTCGGCCAACTTACATAAAGTGTAACCAAAATACAGCCATTAATAACAATTACTTTTTACATCCCTGTATGAAGTAAAGGAAGTATTATAATCACCAAAAATTTCAGGTATCATACTTCTTTGGAAATATCCATTTTGACCACTCTCGAATCCATTTGAACGAATCTTTTGCGTGATATCTGTACGTACACGTACATACTTATATATCTCGCATAACTCAAAAATGATTAGCCGTAAAAACGTTAAAATTTTGTACATGGGACTTTCTACTTACTTACCACCAGCTGAGTTGCTGTACCGCCTGTTATATGACTATCAGCATTTGTACTCAATCAGTAGAGCATTCTATTGTCGCTAGGCCTAGCCAAAAATCTCTATTGAATATTAAAATTGGTAGCGGAATCTATAAAGTTACTGCGGGAATAGGTAATTGTGACCTGTGGTTATTAAAGAGACCCTGTCAAGACTTTTGACTGTGCTGAATGAGGATGGAATAGGAGCAATGTTTTATGCTTTGTGATTCTGAGTTTACAGAGAATGTTTACTCATCCTCGTACCCGACTGAGTGAGCTCTGTCTTTTTATTCTTATATGTTGGTAAATTCTGCAATTTTTTTTGCTTTAAAAGTGATTGAATTATGTTGTCTTACGTTCCGGTTGCATTTAGTTAATCTGTATGCAGTAGCTGTAGAATTATAAACAATTTAAAGTGTGAGTCCTGCTAGGCCTAAATTGGCGGCTATTTGTTTCTATTTGAAACTCTTAGTTGTATAGTGAATTAAGTCAGTTGGTGAACAAACTTCAGAGTTTCTTGCCCAGTGTGGGCGAACATTTTTGTGCACCAAAATTTTTATCTTTCTATCCGTTGGATAAATTGTTTGTTCTTGCGTATGAACTTTAATTTTAATTGTTTTTAAATTATATTTGGTGTTTTAGGTTTTCTATACGATTCTTAATGAAGAAATTTTGAGATTTATGTGTTTTTGTCTTGCCGCGAAGTGAGAACTGAATAGATTGAATAAAAAATATAGCTCGAACAAAATTCGAGAAAATAGGTTTAAATGAAGTGCAGCAAAAAATGTGTATAATTTAATAAGCCGTGCAAGTATTTCAGTTAAATATCAGTAAACGATTGCTTATATAAGACACTCTAAGACAAGGAAAAAAACGACGCAACAAGAAGGAGCTATCTGAATGGGACGAAAATTGGTAAATATGATGTACATGTACAGAAAAACATATGATAACATCATAAAAAGTGGATGATTTGTTTAAGAGAATGAGCTTCACAAATTGAGCAAATCCATAACGCGTTGGTTCAAATCTCTTCGCTGTGTTTTGAGCTTCATATTTTGGTAAATGTTCTGTTCAAGTAAACGCTGTCTTTTTTCCCCTCCTATTTAGTAACTTTTAGTTATGTTAGTAATTTTTTGTTCATTTTTTCTCTTTTGATTATTTTAAAATTATAGCGATTAATAAAAGGCATAGTTATGTAAAGGGTAATGTTGAATGAAATATTTTTATTCCTTGATGAAGAGAGATTTTTGTCATATTCTTTCTAAATTAACCTAAGTTAACTTAAGAAGAGTTTGTTTTTGTAAGTTATTTACACACAAAAAATCTTATAGCACCTTCGTTTTCGTATAAATTAAAATATGCGAAAGCATTTATTTCATATCTGTTTATAAGACTGTGTCTGTTCATGCAACAGTTCTGTAAGTTTATATTGGATTCAGTTATCAAACAATGCCTTTTGTAATACTTATCCTTTATTTCAAAATTATTATTCTGTCGGACTTAGTCTCTATCGAGTTTTCATTCTTAACAAAACGTAAATTAACTCATTTTAACAATAACACAAACATAGAAATGTAGACTGTAACTAAAATTTTTGCATCTAATGTGATGATACTGAAACTAAAATACACATACCTTGCAGAAATTGCCCACCAGCGGCCGAGCGGTAAAGTCGCTGAACACTGGTAGTTCGGTCCGAGGTTCGAATCCCGCGAACGGGCTGGCTGCATGGGCGTTTTCGTGGTTTTCCCCATGTGTAACGTGTATACGAGCCAGTTTCCCTTAGAAAGTCCTCCACGAAAGGTATCCCTCCCTTTAGGCAGATAGCCCTCGAGGCTTTGCCATATCACACACACACACACACCTTGCAGAAATTTACTACCCAAGAATAATAGCTATTTATAGATATAAAGATCCTCTTCTTGATCTAACTTAAATAGACTGTTGTGGTTACCTTTACTTTGCAGCCGCTATTTATCTAGCTCATTCTTGGTTCTAATTTGATGTGAGGTTAGTAGTATACCCATAATACATTATTATTATGCATCTTAGGAACTACGTTTTAAGGTTATACGTATCTCATGAATGAAATATGTGTTCTTAGAAATGGGAGAGTTTGGAAAGAAAGCGTATCGAAACATTCAATTATTACTGAAAATGAAAAATTTCACGAATTACTTACTTTCAAAATCAAATGCGAGTTTATATATTGCTGGAGTTTAAAAGTGGCCAGTGAAATATCGTCGTCATTAATATGAGACGATGCATTAACTAAATTAAGATTTTCTTTTTTTCTTTATCATTTACTGCTGAGACAAATAATGCTACTTTTAAATTGTTGCTATTCTTTCTATATGATTGAACAAACAGGAACTATTTTGTTTTCCCGCTTCCTATTATCAGTGAAACGGATTGCGCAATATGAAAATTTTAGTTGATTTCCATATGTATAATGAGAATACAGCTCATATCCCATCGAAGATCCATTTTATGAAGCTGCTTTCTTGAGGCAAATGGGTCTAGCTTACTTTGCTTTCATAGATAAACAATTTCTATTTTTTTATAATGTGCATGAACTTATAAGGTATTTCTCCCGCCTTCTTAGCATGCCTTCGTAGTGTGGTGGTCTGCACCCTGGGCGCGTATTCCAGAGCTCCGTGGTTGGATTCCCGATGAAGGCGATGCTCATTTTTCAACACGGCTGCTTCCAAAAAATACGTAACTTCTCTACAGTGGCTCGCGAACTAAAACAGTGGTGGATGATGATTCTCCACCACCAGGATATGACGACTGTGTCCCCTAAAACCCCAGTCGCCCTTTAAGAGGGGGAGTATATAAGGTATTTCTCCCGCCTTCTTAGAATGCCTTCGTAGTGTGGTGGTCTGCACGCTGGGTGTGTATTCCACAGGTCCGTGGTTCGATTCCCGGCGATGGCGTTGCTCATTTTTCAAGTCTCCTGCTTCCCCCCCCCGAAAAAAAAATACCTAATGTCTCTACAAACTTCTAATTGAAAAATAGAGCTAAGCCATTCTT